TCTCTCTCTCTCTCTCTCTCTCTCTCTCTCTCTCTCTCTCTCTCTCTCTCTCTCTCTCTCTCTCTCCCTCTCCTCTCTCTCTCTCTCTCTCTCTCTCTCTCTCTCTCTCTCTCTCTCTCTCTCTCTCTCTCTCTCTCTCTCTTCTCTTCTTCTCTCTTTCTCTCTTCCTCCCTCTCTCTCTCTCTCTCTCTCTCTCTCTCTCGCTCTCTCTTCTCTCCTCTCTCTCTCCTCTCGCTCTCTCTCTCTCTCTCTCTCTCTCTCTCTCTCTCTCTCTCTCTCTCTCTCTCTCTCTCTCTCTCTCTCTTTTCTCTCTTCTCTCTTCCCCCCTCTCTCTCTCTCTCTCTCTCTCTCTCTCTCTCTCTCTCTCTCTCTCTCTCTCTCTCTCTCTCTCTCTCTCTCTCTCTCTCTCTCTCTCTCTCTCTCTCTCTCTCTCTCCCTCTCCCCTCTCTCTCTCTCTCTCTCTCTCTCTCTCTCTCTCTCTCTCTCTCTCTCTCTCTCTCTCTCTCTCTCTCTCTCTTCTCTCTTCCCCCCCCCTCTCTCTCTCTCTCTCTCTCTCTCTCTCTTCTCTCTTTTCTCTCTTCCTCTTCCCCCCCCTCTCTCTCTCTCTCTCTCTCTCTCTCTCTCTCTCTCTCTCTCTCTCTCTCTCTCTCTCTCTCTCTCTCTCTCTCTCTCTCTCTCTCTCTCTCTCTCTCTCTCATTCGCCTACAGCATAGACACACACAGAACCTCTTGTAGTTTCACACTCATACGTTTCATTTCACCTTCTCCCGCTTCTTTAAGTGTGATCCTAGTGCATCACGCACCAATGTGAGCGAGATGTGCGCTCAGTTTGTACGATATTTTTCAGTTTCTTTGAGCCCATGCGCCTGATTTCGGTATTTGCATATCCAGAACACACGTATTGTCTGATCGAGATAATGAAGAGTGAAGAACCTTCCCCCACACCGAGCGACGCAACGCCTGACCCCTTCGCGCCAGTTTTCCCTCTACGCCGCCGACGGAAAGTAAGCAAGGTTATAGAAACTTTCCTCTTTTTTTTGTTTGTCTTTTTCCGTTTGAAGGAGACGAACAGTTGCGGAAGTTTGCAAGTAGTTTCTTCTCCGCGCTCAGCATGGGCGAGGAAGCAGGAGAGTGTGCGTGTTGTTTGGGGGAGGTAATGCGAGTGCCTCTGGGCGCCCGTCGACGTAGGTTTGGCGGGATGCGACTTGCTCGGCCGCGTCGGTTCGAAAAGGCGTGGATGTGCGTATTTTGAAAGGGAACCTCCACCCCGTTCATTTCCTTATCCATATTTAACGCTCAATTTACCCATTCGTGCGTGGCTTTCGTTTTTTCACAAGTGATGTAGAATTTATCTGTTCGTCGGGGCGCAGTTGGTCGCTCTCCCTTGCACACTCGCGTATGAGATTGCAGCAAAGGCAAATACTCGCATGTTGACAGAAAAAGTGAAAAAGGTCAGGCCCGGGCAAGGCTGTGGACGGGCGGGCCAAGGACCGCTCCTCGTGAAATATTTACCTGCTGAAAAGTGAGCAATAATGCAGCCCGTATTATGCTCGCTTGCCTTCACCTGCACTACCTGCTGCCGGGACATGCGAAGGGAAGATCGAAGGGCAGGGGAGGGAAGGGTCGAAGGATACGACGCGGCGAGGGATTCCAGGTGCACAGGTGAAAGGGCGCGAAGGATAGATTGGGAACGATGCATATCAAAGGGAAAGGCTTGTCGCAGATATCAAAGACCGCCAATAAAACAATCGCGCTTCCGCGCGCAGTGATAGCTTGTGCGGCTTCGAACGGCGTCCTGTGTGTACGCGAAAAAGCGCACCTGGAAGCCAGGACTGGTGAAATAACCGGGGGAATGAATGGCGGCGAGGGCGAGCAGAATGGGGCGAGACGATAACGGGCGCTGTGAGAGCTCGCGAAGAGGGAAGGCGTCGGGAGCGAGGGCAGGGAAGGCGGCATCCCCGCGGAGGGTGCATAGAAGAACACGCAGCTGTGAACAAGGAGGGAAGGCGGTGGATGGAGGAGAGAGGGGTCTGCAAGGGAAACGAATTAGGGAGGTTACGCTAAAGACGCAAAATTCGACAAGATTTATGTGCATGAGAATGCGTAGGTGCATGTGAGGGCATTTAGCTGTCTTGGAAACAGGATTCATAGTCTGACAGCGCCGTGCTCAGGTCTCGAAAGACGGCTGGGCGCACAGAGGGAGGCTCTCCCTAGTGTGCTAAGCCGTATATAAGGACAAGCAAAAACCAATATCTAGACTCTCTCCCGTAAGCAGGTTTGCCTATATTGATTGCCGAGGCCGTGCGATCAACTGCTCTCTTTCCGTCTCATTTCTAGTCAGCCTGGAAATTAATTACGACTTGATGAATCGGCTCCCTTGCCGAGGTTTCTCTGACATGTCTTGTGCTCAATTCCTTCACCAGACGCCTCGTACCTTCGATGTACGTTCGCAGTGCGAGAAAGTAAATGATGTATTCTTCCGCATGGAGAGACACTCTCGTTTGTCCATCTTGCAGGAGGTGCGCCAACAATCTCACGAGTTTCTGTCACTTGAGACTCTCGTTACGCTCTGCACACGCCTCGGCCTCATCTCTTGCCTCTCAGGCCTCGTCGTGTCGGCACAAGTGTTCATTCACGCCTGTCGCCGAGTCACTTGAGCGACTTTTGTGCTCCAGTTTTCCTTCCCATTGTCTCCGAGGCTCACGGATTTGCCTGCGCTTTTTGCGACTCGTGTCACTCCACTCTGCCGAGGATTCCATTTCTCACTTCTGTTTCATTTCATTTTGATTGCGAGGCTCACTCACAACCGAGCCTTGCAGACTGGAGAAAACTGCGCATTTTGTAGCAGGTCAAAGTACAGCCTGGAATGGAAGCGGGTGTTGAGAAAAGTGGGTGGAGGAAGGGTGCACTCCAAGGAAAGAATCGGAGGCCGAGAAATATGATTGGTTTGATAAAGCGTTTACGCTCTGCGTGCGCGGCTGCACAGGCTGACGACAAGGCAGACAGGAGCCCGTCTCCCGTGCTAGGAAGGGTGCCGAGAAAAGAGGGTTTCTTGCTTCATCCGGCAAAAGAAAGAGAAAATGATCAAGTTAAATGAAAAGTTTCTCTTTCTCCCTGAGGACCGTTCGGAGACTATGGGTAACATAATTGATGGCGGTTCGTCAGAGGACTGACCTTGTGCGATATTCAGTAGCACTCG